CATTTAGGTTATTCACTGATATTCCTATCCTCCAATGTGATGCTAACAAATTTTAATTATTAAAATGTTTTAGTAAAATATATGTAAGTATACACTAATGCATATTGTTGCATTGGTGTATATTATTATTATCATTATTATTATTATTATTATTCGCCTGTGTTCAGTTAGTGTAAAAACCAAACCCGATTTATTTTAAACTAGATTCCTGTTGTATTTTACTGCTTAAATTAAACATTTTCAATCTATTTGTCTACAATTGCTGTATGCCAAAAGGCTTTAAAAAATCTAGATCTAGATTTCAGCCCTAGCTGAAACACAATTATAACCCAGAGATGAATATATTTTGACATCACCAATTAAGCAAGATCTAGGTGGGCCTTCGTCATTGTGTACCAACAGCTTCCTTTTCTTGGAGCATTAACCAATGAGTCAACCACCACTCATAAAAATATGAAAATGCATCACAGCCTTACACAAACCCAAACTGTTTTCTGCCTCCAACACTTCAAATGTCTTTCTGTGGGAGACACAAAACTTTGCTACTTCAGAACAATGTAGGAAACTGCAGGGGTGGTGCAAACTTCAGCCAATCCCATTAAAGAAAGACAAAGACCTTCCCCTAGAAATTTCTTATCAGATGCACCCTTCACCATGACACTGCATGTTATACCATCTGTGAACCTTGGACCATTTTCAAGCGATGCATATGTAAGTGCTGTGAGGTCACTGAGGGCAGTCTGCTTTAACAAGGAGGTTTTTTTTGGTGTAGAAAAGCAACATTAATACATTCCATATGCATGGGCCCTAAAATGCTACACAAACCAAGTCCAGATGTGCTGTTTTCTATGTGGGGATGTTGTTGGTAATGTGATGGTGGGCAGCACCCTGGCTCAACCACTTAGGCAACAGCCTGAGAGTGACCAGTGAACAATTATGCAAGATAAACCTTCGCTTTGAGGCGGAGTACCTGTTGAGCCAGTAAACAAATTGATGGCACATGGAAGTGCATGAGGAAATACTACTTTTAACCTGAAATGCTTGACATTGCATAAGTAAAAGATGAATGGTCTGTGGGCTAAACAAAATCTCTGTATTAGGTAAAAACAACTCCAAAATGCCAGTCCAGCCTTAAACCTAACCATCAGGGAAGATCTGAAAACATATGAATGCGATCATACTAATTAATACGAATAAGCCACCAATTTGCTTTAATCTAAAAGTTTATGAAATGCCATGAGAGTGTTGAAAATAAATATAAGATTGTGAAAATATTACATGAATTTAAAGAATGTCCTGGTTGATCTTTCAATGTAATTAAATAAATGTAAAGCTTCAAAAAGTACCTAATCTATCTCACCATAAAAGTGTACATAACTTGTGCATTATTCCAAGTCTTCTGATGCTATGGGTTATAGACCCAAGTTTTCCCTGATAGTCTTCTTGCTACATTTAAGTTATTCACCAAACATGTTAACCATGACTAAATGCAGATTCCAGAATCTAAAAGTAATTCTTCATTCCTCAATCTTCTCTCAAGAATACAGTGGATTAGCTTTGCAAGTAAGGATGACTTGGGATTTAAAACTTTGGAGTCCTTTGGACCTTTTGGGTCATTTTGAGGTGATTTTTTTTTTTTTTTTTTTTTTTTTTTTAATG